GTAGGAATGGTATGATCCTCCATTCCTTTCTTTGGAGCTTCGTAACGATTCATCGGTACGTACGTCCGTTGCATACATAGATCTATGTTTACGGGAATCACCCAATACTATCATACTTAGTACGGTTCAAAAACAAAGTTATTGCCACAATAATGATACAGGGCAGGACACAGGACAGACCACGGTGGACGCATGTGGAGACCCACGCAAGGCCCACCCGTGACTGGCCAGGCGACTCCCCCCATACGTGCTGCGACAGAGCACACTACTAGGTTATATGATACAACAATACAGTGATATGGACTAGTAGTAGTAGGTACGTATGCAGCATCCTGCGCAGGGGCCAAGAGACCACGTCCGGGCCAGGAGGGCATAGGTAGGGCACCCCCAGGTGCCCTTGCATGTACTACAGCTCAGGTGAGAGCCACCTGACGTACAACCCAGGTGGGTACGACCTCACGTAGCAGCAAGATCACTACCCACCTGGCAGCACTACCCACATGGGCCGCACCTCTAGGTATGGCCCAGTAGGTACTGCATTACGTGACAGCGACCTCATGCGACATCACATGACAGCGACCTCACCTGACACTCAGTTGTAAGTAAAGTAAAGTATTACAAATACTAGTACTATTAATACTAGTACTAATATTAATACTACTAGTAGTAGCTAGTGCTAGTAGTAGTACTACTACTACTAGTACTAGCAGTACTTATGCTTTGTATCCGTACTTAATTTGATTTGGTTCGATAATTGGCTACGGTGCACTGCACTTCACTATCTCTATCTTTAGTGCACCTAGCCAGTAACTTTGAAGAATTCTTACTGCCCTCGTCCTGCTGGACTTACCGAGGAAACAAAAAGAAACTTTTTTAGTGTAGATTTGTACAAACCCCGGTATATTAGTTTTTGCAAATAAATTAGTACCTTTACCAAAATAAATTATTCATTATTCATTTTTAACTTAAACATTCAGTCATTATTGTGACAACAAGTCATTCTACTAGCAATAACCTAGTTTTTGCACCGTAGTCCTTCAAAAAAAAACAAAGGCGGCGGCCGCAACCAATCCTTATCTCTAATCACCAAAAATTTTTCCCTCAAGAAGTACGTCTGTGAATTCTTTTCGGGAGAAATTTACTTCAGTACTAACTTTTTCAAAAAATTCGAATGCCGATGGGATACGTTACCATCAGTTCTATGGAAGCAACAGCAGACAGCACCCAGTCTAGCCGCCCAGTAGTCAATAGACGACCAAGTCGTTGCAATCCATCGAGAAGGTGCCGCCCGCTACCGCGAAAGGACACACCATTTTCTATCAGTCCGAAAGCAAGTGAAGAGAGTTCCCGGGAAATGCTTCGACGAGGTCGCATCGAAAACTAGCTACGAGAAGATTACGACGGTACACACCCACAAAAAAACTCTATCCTCGCCGGTCTCATCGTTCCGCGTTCCCGCTGGACAAGACAACCGATTTCGATCGTTTCCGTCGACCATGAAGTCGCTGGAAGAACTCCACCTCGGAGAAGAAGCCGCCGGGGGGCTCTCCGCGGGAATCATCGGAACAATCATAGGCTTCCCCCTCGACCTCATCAAGACCCGGCTGCAAACCGGTTCGTCGTCGTCGTCGTCGTCCAAGGGCGGCCGCCCATCGATTCTTTCGGTGGGAAAGGACATCGTCCGGAGCGAAGGAATTCCCGCCCTGTACAAGGGGGTCGGGCCCCCGCTGATTTCCCTCTCGATTCTCAACACCACCACCTTCATCCAGTACGCCTATTTTCGGGAGCTGTACCACGCCGGTCCGGGATGGGATTCCCGGAATTTCCTGGCGGGAATCTCGTGCGCCCCGGCCTCGGGTCTTGTGTCCACCGTGGAAAACTTTACAAAGACCCAGATGCAGCTCGACAACCTCAAGCCGAGAAGGGAGTACACCGGTTCGTGGAACTGCTTCGCGACGCTCGTCCGGACCCACGGGCCGGGCATCGTGTACACCGGCCACGTCGTCAACACGATCCGCGAGGTCTCCTTCCTCGGCCCCTACTTTTTCTTCTACGAGGGGTTCCGGGAGGCCCTCCTCCGGCAACAGGAACGGCTCCGGCGGGAAGCACCGGAGGCCACCGGCAGCGGCCTTTGGGGATCGTCCCTCGCCACCAGCGCCAAGATCGCCATCCCCGTCGCCGGGGGCCTGTCCGGGGCCCTCTCGTGGCTGGTCTCCTTCCCCCTGGACTGCGTGCGCGCCGGCGTGCAGGGACAGGGCATGCCCCCGGAGAGGGGGGCCCTCCGGGTCCTGGGGGACCTCGTCCGGACGCGGGGGATCACGGGCCTGTACGCGGGATCCAGCGCCAGCATCGCGCGGGCGTTCCTGGTCAGCGGGAGCCGGTTTTCGGCCTACGAGGGTGCCCTGTGGCTGATCCGCGGGGGTCGATAGCCGCGGAAGGACGGACAGAGGGGGGTCGTTCCCGCACAACCCACACGGGGGTTGTCGGGTTCTGGGATTCCGGAAGAACGCCACCTGCGGTGGTTGCGGACGAGAATCGATTCGAGAATCCCGGATGGTCACAGCTGCACCGAGAACCAACCGATGCGGCGCAACGCGAGGAAAAGGGCTATTGTTCCGCTGCGTAACCCACCGAGTTCGAAAATCGGTACGTACTATACCGGTACGACGTTGGCACTTTCGATACAAGTGCTTCCTAGACACCATTTTTTCCAATGCCCGAGGAACTCCATTGATTCGATACAGTATCTCTTTATTGCGATTTTGTCGAAAACGTATGATATATTAGTATGCATAGTGCGTAGTCATCTCGAGCAAGCAGACGAACGGTTTGCTCGTTCGCTGCTCCGGTCCTTGTTGGGTCCTTTGTTTGCGGTCCCTACCGGGGGGGCGGGACCCCCACAAAGTCCCGGAGGAGGTCCGGGGTGGAGCTCTCAAAGAGAATGTCGTGCAGGAACCGCTCGAGCAAAAAGGTCTTGAGGGAGAGGTACCCCGAGTCGAGGCACCGGTACCAGCGCTTTCGTTTCTTGAGGAGGTGCCAGCTGGTAATGGCGTTGGGGAGGTGCTCGACGTCGTGTTCCTCGGTAACCGCGAGCGGGCTCATGTTGGCAATGACGGAAACGCAGCTTTCCTGGACCTTGGTGACCTTCTTGGAGAGTTCCTGAAAGTCGGAATAGCGTTTCCAGACGCCGATCGTGTCGCGGATGCTGCCCTCCCGGTAGATCACGAGGAACTGCGCGTGCTTTCCCCGTTTCTCGGACTGTCGCGTTGCGTTTMGTCGCGTCGCAAGAGGCAAGAGAGAAGCGTGAGGACGGCATTGCACTGCGTTGCATTCCATCGCCACGCACGAGAAGCAGAAGACATCAATGCTTCTGGAACACAGTTCACACACAATGCACACACACAATGCACACACACAATGCACGCCCGCAGACACCATGCACTCACCTCTACCACCCGGTAGCTCGCCACCGATATGTTGACCGTGTCCACGCCCGAGACGAGTGCCCCGTTGGCGCTCGGTCGGGCAAAGCTCTTGCTGACGGTGGTCCCAAAGACGTTGTCCCCCTTGGCGTAGACGGTGAGGCTCCCCCCGCTCCCGCTGCTGCTCCTGACGATCCGGGGCTTGTTGTTGGAGGGGTGGTGGGGATGGTGCCCGGCCAGGAGCCCGGGCTGTCCGTTCCCGTGGGTCCCGGCCGTCCCCCCCGGGACCACAAAGGACGAGACGATGTCTGCCACGTCCTGCTTGGCCGTGACGCCGGCCCCGATGACCCCCGATCCGGCGGTCCCGAACTCGCTCTCCGAAAAGGGGCTGAGCGAGAAAGGCGTCGTGGCCGTCAGGACCTCCTTGGGGAGCTCGTAGTCGACCTCGGAATTGGCAAAGTTTTCGGCCCAGACCGCCTCGAAAAAGGCCCGTTCCTCGACGGGCTGTGGGGGCCGGTTGCCGGCGGTCTTTTTCCACAGCAGCTGGTCCGACAGGGATTCTTCCAGGACGTAGTTCGGAGCGGTCACGGCCTGCACCGCCGCTTCTGCGAGAAACAACCGAGTCGGCAGGAAGCATCGAAAAGAGACAACAGGAAACAAACACAGACGTAACAAACAAACCACAAAAGAAACCAATCGCGTGTGAGCAAGACGCGGGCAAGCAAGAGCCAACAGCAAAACAAAGAGCGACACAACACCCATTCCAACACCACTTCCACCACCCGGGTTCCCTCCACACACAAGTTCGGCCAAACCACGCGAACCCCACGCGAACCCTCCTTACCGTTTTCCATGTCCCTCGGCCGCTCGTGCACCAGGATCGGCTCGAGGTACTCCTGCGAGTCGTCCACGAACATCTCGTCGCCCCGGGGGAGGAGGGAGACGACGTTCCGCTTCGGGACCCGGTCGGTCTTGGAGCGGCAAGGTGCCTGGGAGGGCCCGGCCCTGGGCTCCCGCCAGGACCCGTGTCCCCCGCGCTCGGTGGCCCTCCTGGGCCTCCCGGGGGCGGTCCCCCCCCTTCCCTCCCTCGGTTCCGCTCCCGCTCCGGCTCCTTCTGCGCTTCTTCCGCTCGTTTCTTCTCGGCCCCTCCGGCCCCCCGCCTCCGGCCCGGCCCCCCGGGCCTTTCCCGCGCTCTGGTCGCTGTGGATCCCGTCGTCGAACCAGCCCCAGTCCCGCTGCAGGCCCGACCCCACCGAGGACAGGGTCCCCGAGTTCCTCGAGTTGGTCCGGGACATGGGGCGGAGACCCACCGTCGACAGCCCGCTGATGATCGAGACCGGCGCCTGCATCCGCTGGGCCGCCAGCGGGTGGGCCGGCAGGCGGGAAGGCCCACTTGCCTCGGCATCATCATCGGCATCGGCGGTGCCGGTGTGGCTGTTGCCGTGGATGTTCGTCTGGCTGCTGATCTGGCTGCTCATCCCGCTGCTGGTGTTGCCGTCGGCGTCGCAGGTGCTCTCGCCGGTGCCGGACGGCTGCGGTGCCAGTCCGTCCGCTTCGGGGGCAGCGGCTTCCTCGTTTACCGCCATGGCGTACTCGTCCATGTCCTCTTCGATGTCTTCTTCGTCGATGTCTTCGTCGATGTCCTCTTCAATGTCCTCGTCAATATCGTTGCCGCTGCCACGGACCCCGCACTCCCCGTCGTGTTCCACGAGGGTTGCGGCGTTGCCAAGGGCCACCGCGGTCCGGTGGATGCCCCCGCTCTCGCAGGCCTTGCCGGTGTCTCTTTCGTTGCCGGAAAGCACCATCGCCTTTTCGTCGCGGGGCGGGGGAGGACAAACGTCCCGGTCTTCCCTTCGATCGCGAATGTCCTCTCCCGAAACGATTCGTTGCATCGTGGTGTGGTGCAGCGCAGGGTAGTGTAGCGCAGCGCAGCACCGTGCGAACCAACCCAATCCGGCCCGGTCGAGGAGAAGCCCGTCTCGTGGTGCCCTAGCACTGGCCGTTGCTGTCCTTCTTGCTGCTGCTGCTGCTGCTGCTGCTGCTGTTGTTGCTTCCGGTGCCCGCAATGTGTTGCAATCCAAAAGGCACACTCCAGAGCGGCAAATGTGTCCTTCAAGGTGTCCTTCTGGGTGTCCTTCAAGGTACAAGTATGGTAGTATGGCTCGGGCAGACCAGCAAGTATTTCCTCGTATTCTGGTATCGTGCCGTAGTTGTGTTTGTGCGGATCCGTACTCGTACTCGTACTCGTACTCGTACCAAGCCGAAGATCCAACCGAGTCGACGAAACGAAAATCCCTTCTCTCTCTCGGGGGAGCGCTTTTTTTAAGAGCCGTTTGGTGGTTCTGCGCTGTCACATAGGCAATTAACAACACCCCTTCGTGCTTCTTAGCATGCTCGGGGTAGAAGCAGGCCTGAAAACAAATCGCCTCGGTGATGGGACGAGAGAAGGCATTCGTTCGTTCGTTCCGAACGACGAGTTCGTACAGTAGGTGTCCCTAGAGTACGGTACGTACGGCAGCTACCGTAACGCACCGGCATTGGACCGGCCCGAAGAAGAAGAAGAACCGTCCGTTTCCTTTCCCTCCGAACAAAAACACACCACCGGTTGGGTCGCAGATGCCGTGGTGGGTGTCGTGACGCGCACCGATTCTTCTGCCACAGGCCCCCCGACAGCGCACGGGCCCGGCTGCCAAAAACAAACCCGAGGCATCGGGGGCTTTGGACCCCTGCTATGGCCGGGGGGTTCCGCGGGCCGGGATTGAACCGTGACTGAAGAAACCAGATGGTCCGGGGCCCCATGCTTCTTCGCCGTAAACGAGTACGTACGTACCGTTCGTACTTAGCAACGGTTCAAAATCAAAAATTTCTTCTGCCTTGCTATGCCTTACTATCGTACCTTAAATGACTACGTACTGTATGACTCATACCGGTACTCTCCCACCTTGGATTGCGTGCGGCAAATCATTGGCATCGTTTCCTATTCGTATTTCGTATTTCATGCATCCGTCAGCAGTTGTCAGAAGAAAAAAATGTGGCCGATTTTCTTTTTCACTCACCGCACTCTCAACTCAGCACAGGCTGTCACGGAACGATGAACACGAACGAGCCAAAACCCAGGAATCAGTGATTCGATCGTTCGTCGTCCATTTCGATCAGACGACTCGCGCAGTACGAATCGACTGCCGGGACAAGCATCCCCATAAGTACATACAGTATATACACTACACAAAACCATCCACACGCCACAAGTTCCACATCCACCATGAAGAACTTTGGAGTCGGCGCCATTGCTGGTTGGGTGACAACCGTGGCGGTTGTTTTGATGCTTGCGGAATCCTCCTCCGCGTTCGCACCGCACTCGGTAAAGCACCGAACGGTCGGCAAAACCGCGCCATCGCCGCCGCTTGCGTCTCCGACCTCGATCGCCTCGGCTCCCGCGGATTCCGATTTCGAGAAACCGATTCCCGTCAGGGACGAAGGTGCTTCCGGTGCGGCAGCAGACGAGAACCGGTACAACGTCGACCTCGAAACCGCCGCCGATCTCTGGACCGTCTCCGTCAGTGCGGACAACCGGCTGGACCGTGCCGCGGGCGTGCCCTTTCTCGACTCCAAATCGAAGGACCACTTCGTGGACGATGTCTCCGTGGTGGTGAGCCGGAACGGAGGAATGGGAATCGAGCTGCTGGAACTCGCGGGTGGCCGGGACGACGACTACGGCCTCACGATTGTGTCGGGGGTGAGCGGCAACGCCGAAAAGGCGGGCGTCATCGCGGGCGACTCGATCGCGGGCGTCGAGGTCAACAAGGTGGGCGGAAGCGGCACCAACGTCGAGGAATCGAGCGAGGCCTTCGACTGCGAGTGCCGGAATTTCGATGCGACCATCGGCCTGCTGGGGTCCTTTCCCCCGGACATCGAGTCGCTCACCCTAAAAATCAAGCGCATCCGCCGGTGGCCAAAGGTCAAGGTCGTGGTGGCCTATCCCCCCAGCCAGTGCGCGGACGGCGTCGACAACGAAGAAACCGTGGAACTCTTTGCGGGAGAAAACCTCAAGCGGGCCCTGCAAACGCGGGGCATCGTCTTCGAAGACCGGGACGCCGCCAAGTGCGATTTCTGTGGTGGGAAATGCACGGTATCGATCGATACGGGAATGCAGCTGATGAGTCCAAAGGGCCTCACAGAGGAGAAGCTGATGAAAAACAACCCGAAGTGCCGACTTTCCTGCAAGACAGTAGTGGGTTACAACATGCAAGAGGGGAACGTTCGGCTGCGCATCAATCTCAACGAGTGGAATACCAGTGACAAAGGTGGCTTCAGCAATCCTTTTGCGAGCAAATAATTTTATTGTGGATAGGGAAGGACATCCAGAACGCAAAGGCAATCATGGAATTTTAATACTAATAACCGATTCAGATTTTGAAGCTAATAGAATAAACAGGTCACTGCGGAGTTGCACAGAGAGGCAGAAACTGGCGGCGTTTTGAATGTTCGCAATTTGAAGTCCTGTTCTGTTCTAGTTGATCGATGGACGATGCAGTGCGCTTGTTCTTGCAACTATTGTTGTGGTAAAGATGAGGTTCTCCAAACCTATAAGGAAAAGGACTTTGAAACCTTTGAAGAAGAGAACAACATTACATGGCCTCACTAAATAATATAAAGTAGCAATATATGCATCATTCAGCTCCAAAGCGCAAAAACCAAAAACCTGAAATAACATGGAAAGCAAAAGACCTTCATGGTCGCCGTTTCGGTGTGTAGTTAATCCATTTTTTGCTTCGTTTCGCAGCTCGTGACTCCAAAAATACTGAAACACGAACCACGATGACGTACTTTTTCTACGTGTACAAACCCTTGACCGCAGACCCATCATTCTCCCTCACCTCTTTCCACCTGTTACGGTCGCACGAGCTCTACTAGCGTGTGTCGTCGAAATTATTTCTTCGACAGATCGACGATTTGTTTGAGTTGCGGCATGACGGGAACGGCCAGTCTGTATTAATTTCATAGAATTACTCCCTTCCGATAGACGGCAGCTTGAAAAGCACGTTCCGATTGCAGACCAATACACCCTGGACATTACATCAATACCCCTCGCAAAGCATGAAGCTCGGTAGTTCTATTTGCTCCACGACGATGATCTTGTCCGCGTTCGCGCTTTCCTCGACCAAATTCATGGCCTCGGCCTTTCAACAAGGCGTATCACGTCGAAGCATCGCGGCTTACAGACCGAGTCGCTTCGTATCGCGGTTGGCCTCGACCACGGCAGAAGCACCCGCGGTCGAAGAACAAGAAGATGTAGTCGGCGAGTCCTCGTCTTCTATTTATGTCCAAGAGGCCGAAGCCCTCGACGCACTGAAGTCCGACTTTTTGAAAACTATGCGAGATCGCGGATTTCTTCACCAGTGCACCGGAATCACCGAATTGGATGCCAAATTCATGGCAGAAGAGGGTGTTGTGACAGCCTATTTGGGATTTGACGCAACTGCCGACTCTCTTCATGTTGGAAGCTTGTTGCAAATCATGATTCTTCGACACCTGCAAAAATCAGGCCATCGCCCCATCGTTCTGATTGGTGGCGGGACATCCAAGGTGGGCGATCCGACCGGCAAAGACGAGAGTCGAAAGTTGCTGGACGACGAAGGCGTCGCGCGCAACACAGCCGGCATTTCCAAGGTCTTCAAAACGTTTTTGGATTTCGAAAAAGAGGGCAGCGACGACAACGCCCCGAACGCCGCCGTTATGGTCAACAACAATGATTGGTTGGGAAATCTCAACTATTTGGATTTTTTGCGTGATTACGGAACTCAGTTCAGCATCAATCGCATGCTTAGTTTTGAATCCGTCAAGCAACGGCTCAGTCGAGAAGCCCCGTTTTCGTTTTTGGAGTTCAATTATATGATCTTGCAGGCCTATGATTTCTTGGAGCTGTTTCGACGATACAATGCAGTACTGCAGCTCGGCGGAAGTGACCAATGGGGCAACATGGTCAGCGGAACGGAACTCGGACGTCGATGTGATGGTGCGCAACTATTTGCCCTGACGGCCCCCCTGATCACGAAATCTGACGGGACCAAGATGGGAAAAACGGCCGGAGGAGCTATTTGGTTAAACCAGGATAAACTTTCAGAGTACGACTACTGGCAATTCTGGAGAAATACTTCCGACGAGGATGTCATCAAATTTTTGAAATTGTTTACCGAACTTCCTCTCGAAGAAATCGCGAAATTCGAAAATCTAGATGGTTCCGCCATCAATCAGGCCAAAATTGTTTTGGCTGACGAAGCGACAGCAATGCTCCACGGAAGGGATTCCTTGGTAGAAATCCATAAGACAGTTGAAAATATGTTTAAGGGAGCGGGTGAGTCAACCGAAGGTCTGCCTCGAATTTTCGTGGAAGCTTCCGAATTGGAGGGAGATGGCAAGCGATTCGCGGACCTGTTTATGGAGTTGGAACTGAGCAAGAGTAAGAAGGAAGCACGGCGATTGATCGCTGGTGGCGGTGCCAAATTGAACGGTGAAAAGATTGAGAACGAAATGGGTTCACTAACTACGGGAGACTTTGATGGCAAGACAGAAGTTGTGTTGAGAGCAGGAAAAAAACGTGCTGGTGTTGTCGAGCTGAAATAAGTTAGAGAGTGATCAAACGATGGGTATTGCAAACATATCCAAGTTTGATCCTTGCTGCTTGAGGATTCCTCATAATACACAAAGAGTTACGTAGGCATAAATATGGTGTACTGAATAATTCACCTTGAATACTATATTCTGTCTAGTTCATGGAATACTACTTAATTTTCTGAGTAGGTGTTGAAATGTTCAAGAAGAGTTCTCCTTGTTGTGCTTCTTCTTCTTGTTGTTGTTATTACTGGTACCACAAGAACAAGGACAATAATTTTTGAGGTTTGGATGAGGGATGGTATCTCTCTCAATTTTGCCTCAGTGAATATTTCATGAGACAGAATGGGTGATACGGGAATTTGGAATTTGTGATTTGAAGAAAGAAGTACTTGGGGTACAGTACTACCGTACGTACTAGTGCGACTACGAGCTCAAGCAGGAGTATTTCTTCTGCTTAATTCTACTCGTACGTAGTACCGGTAGTACGAAGTAGTTCCTAAGAAGAGAGAATCCTATGAAACCAAGAATGAAAACGGCGCACGTCTGACCGTGTAATAAGAGTACGGCGAGTTTGCGACGTTCGTTTTTGTTACTTTTCTCCATCGTTCCAAGTGTGTCGCACCGGTGGCATATTCGGCATATCTTCCTCATCATACAGTAGTATCCTCTGTGCAACACGCTTTGGTGTAATTACCCACTTTCCGGAATTTGGTAGACTTGAACGTCTCAATCAATCTTGAGTTCGCATTCCAACTAACGACCGTGTTCGTACCCAAAGCAAGTGTTGTCACTCATCCATTCACCGACATCAACATTCTTTTATTGCACCGGGAACACTTTTGCACGCGTATGAAAGTACGGCACGCAACAATCACGGTGTTTATGCATTTAGAACATCGTTTCTGAATTCGATAACATTGAATGGATAGCATCTGAGCCAATAAGAAAGATGCGAAGATCAACAAGGCTGTCTGGATTGATTAGGATGGCAGGCGCCTTCCGCCATTCTACATTAACCATTGCAAAGATTCCGAGACGAAGCCAAAGCTCGCTGGCGTCATCCATGACGAACAATACCTACTCAAAACAGATTCATGGTAACAGCTTTCGAAATTCATTGGCGAGGACGCACAACGCGTATGGCATCGGACACAACAATTTTCATTCTACCAGCACCTGTCGTAGTCCGGAAAACAAACCATCAGCAGCATTTCCGCACCTCCGATCACCTACATCCGAACATGCCCGCGAGCTTTTTCTTTTGATGAATTCGAGGCCGGGGAGTCTTTTAACGACGTTATTGGACTGCACGAAGGAGTCTGGTGATGCCAACGCTGAATCGCTTGAGAAGTACAATGTCGATTGGACCGGCCACTATCGAGGTTTCTCTTCGATTGTTGTACGGCCAAATTCGACAGATGAAGTAAGTCGCATTCTAAAATATTGTAATGAACATCTAGTAGGGATTGTTCCACAAGGTGGAAATACGGGGCTGGTAGGAGGAAGCATCCCTATCTCGTCGAAAGAAATTGTTCTCTCGTTGGAGAAAATGAACACAATTGAGGACGATGGTAGAGAAAGCAATGTATTGCGAGCTCAAGCCGGTTGTATCTTACAAGACTTACAAGACCATGCCAACAAAAACGGAAGTTTGGTCCCGGTCGATTTAGGTGCAAAAGGAACCTGTCAAATTGGTGGAAACGTTTCCACAAACGCCGGTGGGGTATATTACTACCGATATGGAAGTCTCCACGCAAATGTTTTGGGCCTCGAGGTGGTGACACCAACTGGTGACGTTCTCAATCTCGGATATAGCCCTGTTTCGCACCTCAAGGACAACACAGGATATGATTTGAAACACATGTTTATTGGTAGCGAAGGAACCCTTGGAGTGGTCACAAAGGTAGCTCTACGATGTCAACCTTCACCGGTATCTAGGGGAGCGATCTGGCTGAGCTGTAACTCACTGCAAGATGTCGTAAAAGTCTTGAACATCGCTCGTACTGAACGCTTGAGCGAAATCCTGGCCGCGTTTGAGTTCATGGATGGAGATGTATTAGAACTGGTTCGTCAGACGCATCCTTCCATTCGTTTTCCTCTACTCAACGCTGGTGATACTGATGCCCCAATGCAACCGTATAGCATTTTAGTCGAAACGCATGGATCTCATGATCAACATGACAGAGAAAAGCTAGAATCCTTCCTGGAATGTATATTTGAGGAAGGCCTTGTAACAGACGGAGTCGTAGCGCAAAACTTAGGACAGATAGAAGACTTTTGGAAGATCCGAGAACTATGCAATCCATCATCTGCAGCTTCAGGTACGTAAAAGCTAATACTGAATACATCATGGTTTGTTGTATGGCTAATGTTGAAAAATGCTCTGGAAAACAATTAGGGCGACACAAAAGAAAACTTTTTGGATAGAATGTAACATTCTCAACGCTTAAATCTACGTTTTCGATCTTTATCAAAAATGTTTTTGAAAGGCTATGTTTACAAGTACGACGTGTCCTTGAAGGCGAGGGATTTCGAAGGTTTTATCCGTGATATGAAGTTGCGGCTAGGTGACGTTTCCCATGCGTCGTCTTCCGCCGACCACCATCTACTCTGCGTAAACTGGGGTCACATTATAGGTGAGAGTTTCTCTTGCGAGCATTGGAATTTGATTTCATTTTATGATTCGATTCGTTTCTGTTACACGCAATTGATTACTTGCTAACTACAACCACATTAATTGGTTCTGTACGAACATTCTTGCAGACGGAAATCTTCATTGTAATATTGTCTCAGGTGGAAAATTTGAAAAGGATACTGGTTTGGAAAAGTTCATCAATGAATGCGTTTTTCAAGAAGTCATGAAAAGGAACGGTTCCATCTCCGCGGAGCATGGCCTGGGTCAGTATAAACACAACTACATGCCGCAAATCAAAGATCCACCGACACTTCAAGCAATGTATGACGTTAGGAGTCTTTTCGATCCTAATGGGATCATGAACCCTGGTAAATACTTGCCTTCTACATAGGAAATCTTTCTACATATTTTGTTGCATATGAAAAGACTGCACGAAGCAAAGGCTTCACGTGACAGAACACTCAAAGAGTTAGGAGCTAGGATACCCAAAATGACAACATTAAAATGCAGAATATGAGAAAAATTCAAAAAATGGAGCAATTTCATTAATCTTAATGTTGCCTAGAGGAGTTGAAACCCAAATCTCTTATATTTTATCGCCGCTTAATTGAAGCAAGAGTATCAACTAAACAGCATTTTACACGCCCGTAGAATCCATAGCGGGATCAGTGGCAAAACCCATTTGTCTTTTGTAGACAAGTTTCTCCGCAGCTGTCACCTGATCATTAGCCCAGTTACCGGAACTTGCACGACTTCTGTAGTTTTTGGATTTCCTGCGCCCAAAAATAGCCTCTAGATCACAGCTATGCACCTCAGGGAAGATCTCATCCGGATCAATCTTTTTACCGCCTATGCGTCCGTTGTATTGCTCTTCAAGAGCTGAATATAAATTTGATCGTTGGGCCCAAGTTGGAATCTTCTTGTTCATCCGCTCATTATCTGAATCGCTATCGCTATCGTCCGTGTCACTATCCTCTCTATCAGACATTTCGTATGTATCCATTGGCGACATGACCACTTTTGGTGGTTTTTTAATTAATGGGGCTTGCTTCAAAGTCGTTGCAAGAGGGTCTGACACGCAAGTGTTTGAATGATTAGAATTATTAGTCAGAGGTAAGTGGCGCTTGTTGGTAGCATTTGACACCGAAGACGTCGTTGTCTTCGACGCTGCATTCGTGATTTTGTTTTGGAATGCGCGAGCAGCTGCCTTCTCTCTCATCTGCGTTGCGAGATTCTTCTTGGTTGCACTTCCCGTAGAGGCAGTAGCATTCAACGAAGACAACGTGCTTGTGTATTCCTTAGAGCTCAGTGCCACTTTCGTTGATGTCACTGGCTTGCTCTGTGCCTAAACAAATGAAAATAATGTAGTAATTTTAGTTGTGAACAAAAAATTCCATACTCCAGATAAACTTTTAAAAAAGATGCCGAACTTACCTTTGCACGCATTTCAGCAATTTTTGCTTGTCTCGCTTCTTTCTTTGCCTGCAATCCCTTTGACAGTGCAGATCCGTTGTTGCTGGAAGGGTTTGTCGAAAATCCAGAAAATTTTGAAACCATGTCCTTCACACTCGTACCTGAAACTTTTGAAGATATGCTTACTTCAGGTATTGGAGCTGGCATCTCTTTCACATCAAGTTCTTTCTGACTTTCAGAGGAGTCTTTCATCTTCGTTTCGGTCAATAATTCGGGCTTCTTCTCATTACTATTTAATGACAGACACTTATCTTGTCCATTTGATGAGTTGGCTACCATTTCGTTGATTGGAGCTAAGGAGATATCTGTTTTTTTCAACGATTCATCAGGGAAAGGGTTTGCTACGTTCCGGCATGCTTCATGATTCTTTTCGGACGAATCTTTCACAGTCGAAGGATTGATTTTTGCTTCTTCTGGCCGTTGCTTTGTTTCCTTCATAGGATTGGTCGAATTTTTATTTTCCACTTGATTCGAAGAAGATGACTCAATCTTTTGATCTTCAATGGACGGCAATCTTTTTTGCTTTGTTTCCTTTACAGTCTTGTCACTTTCCTTCTCGCATTTAGCCTCCTTCGAAACGGCGAGCTTTTTCTTTTCGTCTTGCTTTGGTTGTGGCGATGGTGGTGGTGAAGATTTTTTCGTAACGGCTTCATTTTCACCTTCAGTAACCTTTGAAACCTCCATACTGATGGAAGTTTCATTGACATCATCCTTCAATTCCTCAATAGTCTCCGGAACTGAAGCGGTAATTTTTTTGTTAGGCACTGGGATTGTTTGTGTTTGTTGTTCTTGAGCTTCTTCAAGCATAGCATCTATCAATCGAGCTCTTAAATCTTTCTTCAAACCTGCTGTATCTTTGCCTCGTCTCTTCAGCTCTTTTTTGAGTTGAGCAACCTTAAACACGAATACTTTCAGTTCAATATCTGTACGTGTAAGAGAGGGCTGAGTCTTTTCTTTAACAGGTTCCGTATGAGGGACCTCGGTTGCAGAAGTTTGATTCTTAACCTCCCGTGGCTTTTTGACCACCCTCACTGCTTCTACTGGCTTCGAACAAACAAAACTAGTCGCGTCATTTGAATTCTCTTTATCGTGTTCAATTTTGATATCGGTTTCAGTGGTTTTCTTTTGCTTTTTATCAAAATATTGTTTACGTTCTTCTGGGTCAATGCACTCCCAGATTTTCCTCTTGTATGACTATGAAAGTTCAAAAAGAGGACGAGGAAAACGATGCATCAGTATTTATCGGCTATCTATAAAATAATGTTAATTCTTTTCCAACAAGGGACCAAATGCTCACCTCAATTTCTTCAGCAAGGTTTTTCCCCAGATCTTGCTTCGGTCGAAACGGAACTCGGACCTTGTGAATGACTGCTTCTAATGTACGAACGTGCGACATATTGTTAAGTGTTCTCTAGAAACTCGTCTCTCGACCAAAATATATGTTTGCTCTGACCAATTCAGGTATCCTGCCTCGTACTATTTCTTTGTCTACAAGTGATCGATAGTACTCAATTTCAACAAGACGTGTAATGCAACTCAACGAGTCGACGTGACCACAACGATTTGGTCTTTTCGCTAATGCATTCACTGGGAGTAACAGTAAAGTGCTACGAATGATGATAATAAAGAATGTGCAGCAATTGGTGAGGCGTTTGGGAGATATAATTTCTCTAAGCGAGACAGGTTCAGGAATCGATGGATTTTCTGAAGGAAAATCCTCAACTCAGGAACGGCCTCCTCGGCAGTTACCTTTTTGGTCGCGGTTGTGTAGGGATCACCACTACTGGTTGCGTGATGAATATAACAAATAAACGAGAATGAATATATTAAAAAATTGCAGACGTTTTCGCGCGCACGGTGGTCCTAAAGCGGTCATTCCAAAATTTAACAGAGGCCCGAAAGAAAACCGTTTTAGAAAACTCTGTTTGCAGTCCGAATACTGTATCGTATTAGATGAAGAATATCAGTTTGGACTAGACTATTACACAGAACAGTGTCGATATTGCACTTCATAACTTTAGAAGTACAGCCATGTGTGTAGCAGTCACGATTTAGTTCAGTTGTTTCCTTTCAAGAAGTTTAAAATTCTGTATTAATATTTCGTATTTTACACAATAATAAATCTTTCGTTGTCACATGGCTGAAATGATTGCTTTACCTCACAGCAACCGCATTATGCGTATCGCTGTAGCAGTCTTTCGCACAATATCAGTTTTGATGAGTTCATCTACCTGAAATTATTGCATCTGAAGTTTTGAAGAAAAGCGTTCAAATGGGATTGGACAGAACCAGAAACTCGGTTGCAGAGGTGGTGAAAGTTTCAGTTGTAGCTCATGGTGTTGGCGGACACTTGGGATGATAGTAGACGCAGGCACTTTTGTTGTTCACTATCTGCACTGTATTCGACGCACGAACCGGCTACGAACTGCCCGCTTTTTCGTGCAAGTGAATGACCAATCCCCTTAATCCTTTCGGTATTCTTTTGGAACAAATGAAGTCCACGTATATAGGCGTATCCCGTAGAAAGTGAGGGAGAAAGCTTACGCAACACTTGGAATTTTAGTAGGCCGGGACCAAGTCAGAAGAACTAGATGAAAACTGGTATGCTGCTACGAATTCAATGCTTCGAATGATGCGGTGTTGTCGCACCTTCGAAAATACTGTCGCATCAGGTCTGTTTCTTGGAACAAATCACCACCACCTTAAAACTGTTCATTGATTTTGGTCAACGAAGTTTTCGAATTGCTTTTACGATTAAAAATGTTCGAAGGTGCTGTTCAGTGACGAGTGTGCAACCAGTCAATCCACGCGAAAGCCAACGGAACCGACGGACAATCCGAAGATTCGGCAGACACAAAATAATACACCATTTAGGTAGATAGACAGATTATTGGCAAGTTATGGTGAACAAAATTAGGCCGCAATAGAACGGTATGTCGTTCGTTCGACGGCGGCAACAATATCATTGACCTGTGGGAATGCTTGTTCTTCCAATTCGATGGCATAAGGAGTGGGAACATCAGCACCGGTCACACGCTCCATGGGTGCATCCAGGTAATTGAAGGTATCTGTTTCCATAATCATGCCGGCAATTTCGGCTCCTACTCCATGTTGGGGGAAGCCCTGTTCTACAGAAACACAGCGTCCAGTCTTTTTGATGGATGCGAAAATAGTTTCACGGTCGATGGGGCGAATGGACAAGAGATTGATGACCTCGGCCGAAATCCCCTTGGCCGCCAATTCGTCGGCGGCCTCCAGGCACTTGCCAACTTCTTTGCTGTAGGAAATGATGGTAACATCGGTTCCCTCTCGCTCGATCTTGGCCTTACCGATCTCGATCACAAAGTCCTTGGATTGGGCTTCGTCGGACATGGGGAAGGAAACACCGTACATCAATTCGTGTTCCAAAACCATGACTGGGTTGGGATCCCGAATGGCGGCCTTGATCAGTCCCTTGGCGTCCTCACTGGAATAGGGAGAGACAACCTTAAGACCGGGGATGGCTCCGAACCAAGCGGCAAAACACTGCGCGTGCTGGGCGGCGGTACCGGCACTGTATCCGTTGGGACCACGGAAGACAATGGGAACGGCCAGGTCTCCCCCACTCATATAATATTGTTTGGCCGCACTGTTGACAATGTGGTCGATAGCCTGCATACTGAAATTGATGGTCATGAATTCGACGACCGGTCTGAGGTCCTGCAGGGCGGATCCGACTGCCATCCCTGTGAATCCGGCCTCTGTGATGGGTGTGTCGATGACACGCTTTTCTCCGTACTTTTGGTAAAGGCCCTTGGTGACCTTGTAGGCACCCTGGTACTGGGCGACTTCCTCTCCCATGATGAAGACGGCTTCGTCGCGCTCCATTTCTTCGTCGAGTCCCTCATTGATAGCCTCGCGGACCGTCATCTCCTTTGTTGCAAATCCTCGGACGAAAGCATTCTTTCCACGGGCCTATTTGTTTATTGATTGTCATTGTTTATTTTTGTATGGTGTTGTGTCCGTGTTGTACCGTAGCGCGCCGGATTGTGTTTGATTGAATGTCATTCAATTGCGTTTTTGGATGTTTGTTTTCATGGGGTTTGATTCGTCATGATGCATTTTATACGTATTCATATTTTTGGTTCGTTTTTATTGTCGTTTGGTCGAGATGCAAATAATTTTCCAGTTATTAGATCGGGACATACCGATTTTTAAAACCCGACGGAGAAGATGTCATCATTTGATTCAAATCGGATCGATTGTGCGTCAGCGAAAGATACAATCCGTGTGAGTGGGAAAGCCGGTAACTTTTTGGAACCACACCGCTGCCCTGATATCTGAACCGATGGATGGCACACACACTGAGGAGACGATGCCAAGCCTCTTTTTCTATACTTACGATTGCGGCGCTTGCTCGGCCTCCAAGGGCCATTCGGCTAACTGATGAAGAAAACATGTTGGTACCGTAGTGTTGTGGCTGTAACCGAAATACAAATGCAAAATTCTATAGAGCTCGTTGATAGCAGTTGAGAGTATGGTATTTGTTGGTGTGGCGTTGCTTTCGTCAATAAGGAAAAGGCTTCCGACCAAATGAGCCACCAGTATGAACCGTACGGTACGTACGTTATCGTAGTTACGAAAAGGAGGGCTCTTTCACAACCTCCTGCATTTTCAATCTTCCGCGTGGGAACGGTGCACTGCTGGACGATCCTTATTGGGTCCTTCGCCATTCATGGTTTTTTGTGTTTGATTTGACGAAACGTGGTAGGGAATCGTGCGGTACTCCGGTATGCAGAGAACCGTACAAATCTCTAGATTGCACGTTTGCAGATTGTGTTTTTCTTCTCCGTGCCGGATGCATTCATTCAGAGAAACTATTTTAGTCTACTGTAGTACTGTATATCGAACCGTTCGTCCGTCGTTACTTTTTCCAAAATCGAAAGAAGATTCCTATTGCTTCCAGCGGTATTTTTTCACCGTTCGTACTCTACTTATCATCTCCTCTGCGAGAGATGAAATCAAATCATTTTTTTCTTCTCCTGAAAATTCGAATTCAATGCTATGTCGAGGTGTGTGCCCTGTGCCCACCCTTGCATCCGGATATGATACGAGTCGTACGCTTTTTGTGTGAGTGAATAGTGCGACGTCCGCAACATGAATACCGGTAGCGTCCGAAATGAATTCTAAAATGCCCTTACTTCACCAATAGTGTGCACATAGGTCTAGACAAGGTATACTTTGAAAGTAACTATGTTTGGCTTGTGCACGGTTTTTAATACAAATCGCCATCAAAACGCTAGTTGAGCCCTCGTGGAAGGTGCACAATTGGGCAAGTTCATAAATCTTTAGCGAAGGTACTCGTACGTCCCGCATATACCAAACACATGGCGTCAACACTACTACCAGTGTTCACAGAGAGGCATCAACCCCAGTAATCCTAGTTATCGTCGTCCGAGTTTGGCACCCGCGTTGATCCATCTATGCGCCGCGGCCGTCGATTCACGGATCAAAACGGCCAGATCGAAATACACGGCGCAGTGGTCATCCCCGTTGTCTCCATCTTTGCCGCTCCCCTTGTATTCCTTATCGTCCATCAACGGATCCAGAAAATCGTACGCCAGGTCCAGCAACCCAGAGTAAAAGATGGAAAGGATTCCGGTGGAGAGGACGGCCCATAGTCCGAGTCCCTTATAGTGGGCAAGGGGAACCAGGAACAGAAAGAAATCCACCAGCACCTGTACGAACTGAACGTACGAGAGGGGCATGCGGCCGGCAATCTGGTTCGTGATTTGGTTGCAGCTCGTGCGCAGGGAACAGATCTTGTCCAGTAAGCAGTGCTCGAGTCCGTTTCCTCCCTCCAGGACCACCCTCCGCCGCGTCTTCTTGTCCGTTTGCCGGGCTTCCCTGCACCCAAGAGCGACCGACTCGAGCAGGATCCAGTGTTTTTGGGTCTTTGGGACACCGAGCTGCAGATCGAGGAGTTCCTTTTCTCGCTGGGCCAGTATCCCCTTGGCAACCAAGCGGCTCATCCCACGGTCGGTTAGGAGGATCCGAAAGCGCCGGGCCTGCGAGGCCCAAAACAGGACGTGGAAGGCGCGCAGCTGATGGGTCGTTTCGTCGAGGAAGGCTTCTGCGCTCGGTGTGTACGAAGATGCTTCCCTGCGCCTTCGAATCCCGCGACCGGGCGGTCGAAAGAGGTTCGGATGGGTCACGCCGTTGGTCTTTCGGCCGACGCTGGTGGCGAGCACCAGCTCGATGTCGCTCATGCGGCCCTGGATGTTCCGACACAGGTGGTAGACGGAGATCCAGAAGTTGTAGGCCTGGGTAACAAAAAGGGCCAACACCACCGTGGTAAGTGGCAGCAAGCTGCTCCAAAGCGTTCCAAAAACATCCAACAACCGCAGCAGCAGGGCTTCTGTCGGGGCCTTTGCAGCAACAGCAGAAACCGGATACTTCCAAACCTTCCAGTCTCCAAAGATGGCTCGTCGCATAAGGCAGCACAACCCAAAAGACGCCACCATGTTCCGGATTGTGGTGCTCATCGCATTGGAAAAGACGCTCGCATACCACTGGTTCCAGAGCCACGCTCGGGATGGAATATATCGGTCGATGACGACTCCCCCGTTGACACCGAGAATCTGATCCAGCACGACGTCGATGACCTCGTTGTTGTTGGTCGCCTGTTCCTCGAGGTCTTCGATCGTCGGGGGGGGATTGGGGTCTCTGGGTGGATGGCGGCGCTGCGACAAGAGCGAAAAATACTGAAATCCCCGGCGACGGCTGCGACGGCTGCCGCCACCGCTGGCACCGACTGCTAGAATGCGGCACGAGCGGGTTGCGCCCAAACCGTGAAACAAGGCTAGAAAGCCATAGACAAGGGCGACCCTCCAAAAGGTTGTCATTGCGGGTTTTGTATAGCTTGGAAAATGCAACAGTTACAACAAGACAAAGTTCCCCACCTGACGTTGGTGTGCTTTTTGGGACCTTCGTTTGGCCCAATGGTTCTGCTCTACTCTATTCCGTTCCGTTGTGCTCCCGGTTCTGTTGGTCTTGTTGGATCGACGATCAGTAAGGATCTACTATCACAGAGTTTCCGGTCTAAATTTTTCAACCAAAGAATGCAGAGTACGAAAGAAGCAGTTGGTACTGTATTTGAATTCACTCAGATGTTTCCTCGTCGTCCAAAATACTGGCAGTAGATCTTAAAAAAATCGACGATTTGGGTGTTACTATGGATATTATTTTTTGAATGATATCATCAGTAGGAATGGTTTTTTTTCCATTGATCTCGTCATCTGTCAAACATCACTTACGATGGGATTCTCATTTTTTCCAAATTTCGAAAACTGCGGTATTTTGTATTTTACCCTACCGGTACGTACGTACCTAAACTAAAGAAGTACTGCACTTCGTAATGTACTGGTATGTACGGCAGGCCTACGGCTAGAACGATACTGCCGTGTACTATTCCTACGGCACCATAAAAATACCTCTGACTTCAACACTCGGTTGAGATGCTGTGAATCCTAGATTTCGGACTGTACCGGCCTGTACAGTGCCAAACGGTAGACGCACTCGTAGGGTGTTACAACCTTCACGATTAATAGTACAGTACGGTAGTAGTTACGAGTCACCCCGTACTAGAGCGTCATCAGAAGAACTGACTTCATGCGTTGCCTTCTAAAAAATAGCTTTTGGACCAAGAAAGGAACAGACCGAGGTCGGAACTTCCTCCGAGATCAGAGTCATGAAAAGGAGGAAAAAATTGATTCATTGAGAGAAAATGTGGACCGCAAGAACCAGTGCCCTTCTCCTTGATGGTTTCCTGTTCTTCGTTGTCTCCGTTCAGAAAGCGTCGGGGTTTGTAGCAATACCCCCAAAGCCCTTAAGAGGTGCTAGGCGAGGGAAGGCTTGCATTGCAACCTTTTTGAGTGAACACAGTGTGACCACCGACGCAGTTGATTCTCAGGGAGCTTCTGGGAAGTGCTGGGAAAGCGAAGCCATTCGTTGGATCGACGATGTCCTGGACCAAAAGTCGAAACAGAGCCCCTTTGCGATAGAAGAACCAGGCGACGACAACACTCCCATCGTCCCATTTGAGTGGGTAGTCGGTGGTCCCGATGATCGTGGCGACTCCCCTGGTTCGTCTCCTATAAGAAACAAAAAAGTCGCCCTCAGGACCATTGGCGCTACCCCTTTGCTCGATGCCGAGTCCATCGCTTCCATACGGAACGCCGCCGAGAACCTCTGGGATGGCCGTGGCAGCAGTGGTCCAACCTCGCGCTTCACGCTGCAGTTCGAGAACACCAATTCGGAGTGCCACCTCGACGAGCTCGTGGAGTCCAACGCAGCACTGAAAGAAGTGGTCGACAACCTCCTGACCACGAAGGTCTATCCMCTGGCACGCTCGGCCTTTGGTGACAGCGGCGGCGGCGGGCAGCGGCTCACGGATGGACGTTTGTGCGTCTACGATTCCCTCGTGGTCCGATACGACGGCAACAAGGCCACCGATCGATTCGAGGCCTCGCAGCCCCTGCACCGAGACGGTGGCGTGGTCTCGGTCAACATCGCACTCAATTCGCACGACGTGGCCAAAGAGACGCGCCGTGCGGACCGGTTTACTGGCGGCGGAACGTTTTTCGAAGACCTGATGGGCCGCGAACCAAACGAACACCAAAGCGAGAATGAGAACGAGGCCTCCGGTGGCGATGCCAGCCCCGTCCTTCGCCCTTTGGCTGCTGGCCACGCTCTGGCCCATTGGTCGACAAAGCGACACGCCGGGGCACCCACGACGTCGGGAACGCGGGACATATTGGTGTTTTTCCTAACCCAGCGAAAGGCAACCGAGACGGCCGCTGCTGGGGCTGTCCCGAAATCCGCCTTTTCCGGCATCGAGCGGTCCTTCCACCTCAAGCTGAAGGCCCAAGAAATACCGGGTGGACTCGCTCTGAGGTGCCTTGACCTGGCGATGGAAGAGACCCCATTTGATGGCCAGGCACACTTTTTGAAAGGCTTTCACCTGATGCGGGGGGGAACGACACCAAAGGATGGTCGCGGGAATACTACCGAAGACGAGGAGCAGCGGTGGCGAGAGCTCCAACAGAGCGTTTTCCATCTGGTGCGAGCCGCGGAATACGCGCCCTTCGACGCCCGAATCCAGTGCCACCTCGGAATGGCCTATCGGCAGCGATGGATGTTTGCCAAGCGCACCAACAGGACAAGAGACATCACCGGGTCGGATTCGTCGGAGAACGGCGAACAACGGGAACTCTGCAAGGCAACGGAATCCTTAAGGCGAGCATTGTTTCTTCACGATCGATACCAGCGGCACGGAATTGCCTCCGATTTCGATGACAATGTCCTCGTCGCCAGGCTCACCCTCGGGGAGGTCTTGGCGCAACTCGAACGATACAGCGACGCAATCCAGTGCCTGTCCAAGATTGAAAGCCACTCCCTCGATGCCGACAAACCCAAGGACAAGGCTATGGCGCAGCACATTGCAGCGGTGGTGGCCCATTGCATAGAACAAGAATGAGACAAAAACAAAGCCGAACTTTTAGTGACGCGACAACATTCGGAATGATGGCAAGCATCTCAACATTCACACTTTGTGCAATACTGTAATAAAATATACCCTTAATGCCAAAAAGTAGTCTACTATGACAAAAAATCATGCTGCAATGGCTACGACATATCGTTTAAGCCAAAACTCGTTGCAAACGCCGGGAGAGACTCTTCTGTCCGTTCATTGCGTAAAGGTCGATCACGGATTGGATTGTGCCAGATCAAATCAAATCAAATCAAATCACATCCGCCCGCTCATCCATCGGTCGTTGTTGATCGCGTACCGCTTGAAGGACTCCTCCCGGACCAACTCGGCGACCTCCCTGAGCTCCGGTTTCGTTTTGTACGACTTCATGAGCTCGGTCGACCCGTCCGGCTTTTCCAGATAAGCCTTCCACGGACCCGGGTAGGCCCGGTAGATCCATCCCTTCGTGATTCGTTTCAGGTAATAGGCCTCCTCGTAGTTCTTCTTGTTGCCCAGGCCGTAGGTAGTCGAGTAGGCGTTGTTTAGAATCACGAAGGGGGACTTGGCGTTTTTCGTAAGGGATTGTTTCAGTTTGGCCCAGGTTTCCTCGCCGCCCGGGTTGACGGCGATGCAGGCGTCGGCCAGCTCGGTGTTGCTTCCGCCCCTGCGGCCGTTGTTGGATCCGCGGATCGGACCGAGCTTGGACATGGAACCCTTGGCTTGGATGTTGTCGTAGTCGAGGGGATCCGCCGACAAAACCGATACGGACTTTCCACCCAGGACGCCCCCACCGACGGAACCCGCGATCTGTTTGGCCCAGTAAATGTTGGCGTAAGAGAGTTGCTGCCGCGAGATGTCGCTGCCCGGGAAGTAGCCGCCCTTTACCTTCAGGTCCTTTGCAACAACCTGCTTGCCAAACTTTTGGTTGAGGGGCGTGCTGCACGAGTAGAATGGCGTACGGTGTTTTTTTGGGTGTGGTTCCGTCCAAAAATTTAGATGCAGATTGTAGTGTAGACGACGGCGTCGAGCAAAATTAATTCATTTTGGAAAAGGTAAGAAATTTGAGGAATTCAACGATAGAGTAGCAAAAATACGACATGATTATTCCATCGAGTTGGTTGGAAAACGCAGAAAAATGTGAGGAAACCGTGTAGCCGAAAGATGCATCCCTCGTAAACCTCCCCGCCATTTACAGAAGCTCCGACGCTGCTGCTTTTCCGAAAAACGAACAAACACGAGCCAGAAAGAAAGGCCGGCGATCGACGCACCCGAATCGAACCTCCTCGACGTTCGGAACCGGGGGCAGGTTGACCTCGATATTCGTTTTTCCGCTCGAAATAGCGGCACCGACGGCCGTCGACACCTGCTTTGCGATCTGCGAATCAAAGTAGCCGTTATAGAGCTTGGGAATGTCCTTGCCTCCGTCCAAGAAGGGAATCAGTGCATGGCAGAACGACGAGGACAGCGCCAGGGCGGAAACCAATGCCCAAACAAGGGTTGTGCCTGTAGAGTTTTTCATGATACTAGTAGTGGCAATAGTAGATCGTTAAGATGGAAATCGTTCAGGAGTTGATGATTTGGTATCTTAGCATCTACTTCAGTTCTTTAGCTCGTGCCGTTGCTTCTACCTTTCATGAACCTATCGAAAAAGCTACGAGAACATGGTATCTATTGCTACGAGTAAGAGTAGTACGAGTAGTCCCGCCATGGTTATTGTTCTTCTCGTTCCCCCAAACATTTTTTGGATTTTCGACGACCTGATCTTCAATCAGAAACAGTTCCCAAACACGTGGGTGGAATTTTAAAATTGATGGCCGCGCACTTATGGCGCATAAATTTACTATGGCGTCGGTGGTTTTTGGCTGTTTTTTGATGACACCTATTGAGGATCTGAATCACGAGGCCGACCATACCGACGACGATATTCGTACGAGTACGTATCGGAAGTACGTACGATTACTCGTACTACAGGTACTCGTAGGTCTTTGTTTCATTCCAGGAAGCAACTTCACAGTCCGAATACGTGACATAAAATAAAAAAGACGCACCGAACGATTCAATTGAATTGTGTGAAGCATGATGCCCGTCAGCAGATCGAAGAAATCTTCCGCTGGAAGGGCAGCAACAGCGCTCTCGTTGAGCCTCTTGCTGTCGTGCGGAAGCCTTGCGCTTGCCTTCACGACAACAACCCCCGGCTCGCAGTGTGCTTTTCACCATCCGGTGCGGCTCCAACACCCTACCAAGAACGTTCCCTTCGTTTCCGATTCGACGGTTGCGTCTCTCGGATTGCCAACCCTGCCACCACAGAAATTCCGTGGTGCGCGAACCATTGCAAGTGGCAGCGGCGACGAAACGAATAACGAAACGACCGATGACAAACTATTTGACTTCAAAACCACGATAGCACTGGTGGGTGGACAATCCCTCCTGATTGTCGTCGCTGCCATTGCCGCCAAGTTCGTCGGAACCCCCAATTTCGGTCTGGGACCAAACATCGACTTTGGTTTGGCAGCCATCGGCAAGGGGATTTTGTGGAGCCTCCCCCTTGGAGCTCTTGCGGTCGCACTCGATTTCGTGGAGGACCGGTTCCAGGCCCTCCAGGACGTCACCAAGGCCACGCAGTCCAGCGTCCTCTCGCTCCTCGGCGGGACCTTCAAGCCGGTCCTGGGCGGACTCACGGCCCTCGCGCTGGGGATCGCGGCCGGCTTTGGGGAGGAAATGCTGTTCCGGGGCGTCCTGCAGGCCGACCTCGCCTCTCGCACCGCCAGCGAGGTGGTGGCGGTGGGTCTGTCCAGCGTCATCTTTGGGGCCCTCCACGCCGTCACCCCCCTCTACGCGATTCTAGCGACCCTGGCGAGCGTCTTCTTTGGGTGGCTCTACCTGGCCACGGGAAACCTGGCGGTTCCGATCGCCACGCACGCCTTTTACGACTGGGCCGCCCTGCTCTACGCCCACTGGACGGTGACGAACATGAGCGAGAGCGAGCAGCAGTCCCTTCTCGCGTGGCGGTACGGTTCCGGGGACGAGAGCTGAGCCGACCGGAACACAGCGCAGCGCAGCACAGCAACGCACGCAAACTGGGAAGAAGGGAACCCAACTTGGGGTTTCGTCCGTCCGTTCCTTCCTTTTTTTGTCGTCGTGGCCAAAAACTCGGTCGTGCACGGCCCATGCCGTAACAAACAGGTTTCGCGATGAGTTTCGTTTGAGGCTACGACTTTAAAAGACGCAACCAAACAACACACATTGTAGACGAGGGAAAGAAGCCGGCCATCGACCTCGATTCTTGCGGTATGCAGAGAACCAATTTTCTCGAGCGGTTTGTTTGCGTTGCCTGCCATGGATTGGGTGAGGGAGGCGGAAGAAATACCACACTTTCGGATTAAAGAATACACTACTAGAATTCTCCCCATAGTTTCCCCAACACCCTGTATCCGAACTTGTTTGCCGACAAGCGTTGTAGGACACACATAAGCTGCGATCTGGTTCGCTCGACGTGGGTCGTTCGTTGCAGCAGGGGCTTTCGACCTGCTCCATGCGATTCGATCCCGCCGATTCCGCGGCAGGCGATTTTGATCCCGACATGCCCTGCGCAGTAGCTCGAACGCGAGCGGTATGCTTGAAAACTATTCCTGGGCCCGTTCATATATTTGGGTAGACCCGAGCTCTGGAATTATGTTCCCGAGAAATAGTGAGCTGTTCGCGTCTTGGTACTCCTCGAACTTCTCCGAAAAGATGCTCGGTATACAACATGCAAAACGCAGGGCGTGTAAAATTCCGAATGAAACCCATCCTTCATCCTCTAATAAAAGGCGAAATTGTTAACAACTAAGAACTGAATGGCTTAATTTGGTTGCGTAGTTAACTAATTCATTCATCGGTCAAGACATAAAACACGGAACGCATTGACATCGTGCAGTATTTTTCGAACAAACACGCCGAGATGGAGATCGCATCAGGTTTTGTCCAAAGTAATTTGGGGCGGAGCTCCATCTCCTTGTTCGTAACAAGAGGAGCGCCTGCCGCACAGGTATACCACAAGCCAGAACCGGCACCATGCACAAAACAACAGCCCCAAGCGACAAGATCGAGGTTGTAGCCTCTTGCAAGCTAGGTCGGTAGCAAGCTACAAAGGGTTTGCTGTGTGTTTCCACTCTCCTGCACATGACAACGACGATGCCGACAGCGGCGACGGCAGCGGCAACACGGTTCCGGTGTTGCGAGTGCCGTCGCGTGCCGCTTACGAAATCACGCAACACCCCGACTCCGCCATGTTTTTGGAGCGGTAGGATCGCCGGTATCCTTCCAGGTACAGCAGCTGCTTCTCGTTGATGGCCCCGCGCCGGTGTCGCCGGATCAAAGTGACGGCGTCGACCGGATCCATGTTGGCAAACTCGATGAGGGCAATCGCCACCATGACGGGAGCCCGTCCCAGGCCGGCGACGCAGTGGACGGCGATGCAGGGCCGGGTGCGCTCGTGGTGCTCCGCGGCGCCGTCGTAGAATGCCTTATCGACGACCTTGAGCCAAGAGTCGATGACCTCTTCCGGCGGGGAGTGGCCGTCGGGGTATTCCATGTTGTGGGTCGCAATCCCGGCATTCTGGAGCTCTCCCGTTTGGTAGGTTGGCTCGCAGACCCGGACCAGGTCCGTGACCGAGTGCTTGCGCATTTCCCGGATGTAGAGATGGAGGTTTCCCTGGCGGGGAGCATCCATAATGAGGAACCGGAGCGCAGGTTCCACCTCGAGGAGAGTCGGCTTGGTTCCGAGGATGCCGTTCCCTCCGTTCATGGATCGTTCGTTGCCGATCATGATTCGTTTGCTGCTGTTGGTTCGGATGCTTTTTTGGCTACAGGTACTGGAAGACGATGATCGTTCGATTCCTACCCTGTTCGTCATGGGCGCCTTGTTGTCTTCTAAAGCGTTGTTAGTTTGGATTGAGACAATTCAACAGAGGGAACGAGGGGATTGTTCGATAGACAATGTCGTCGTTGCCTTACGTACAAAATCGGTTAGTCTTTTCCGTTTTCTGCCCCAAAATCGAACGTGCCGTGCTGATCCTTTGTTCAGTCCTCGTAAAGGACGTGCCCGTTGCGTTCTACCCGGGCTTGCTCTTGCTGCAAGGATTCAATTGCAACAGTTGGGTCAGTTGCTGCCCGATCCCAGACACTTTGATTGTAGCGTGGTTTCCAGCTTGTACCATTCAAGAACGGAGACTCGAAAGGACTTTACGAAGTAGTGATCCGATTCCCGAGGGTTTGTGCGTTTGCTGGCGGGTTTCCGATGCGCCAGAGAGAATGCTTTTAGAAACAATGGTGTCCAAGCAAACCGAGAGCTGGTGTGTGCGTTGCGTTGTGTTCGTGAAACAGGAGTAATGGTTCGTATCGTACTAGAAAGAGGCCATAACGGAAGCACAGTGTACGTACCGGACTTACCGTGCTGCACCTAGGCAGCGCTCTTAACTCTTTTTCGTTCTTCACTTCAACGATACGGAAAACGGAAACCAGTATGTGCGGTACGGTACGTACCGTACCGCACCAAACGATCGATTTTGAGCTCTTTTCTGGTTCATTCGTACGAGCACAACTGTACGACTGCGTTTACTCTGGTTGTACGTGCAATACTGTACCCACTCCTATTTTGAGGTTCGGTTGGATGTTATGCGCGTCGATAGTTCTCACTGCAGGATAATACTACCGTACGAGCGCCTTGTGGTTTCGAGGGCCAACGATATTTTTTTGTTGACTCCGAAAGCTAATGCGGGAATTTTCGGGGTGTCGTGGCAAGCGTTTGGCTCGGTTTCAAACAGGAAGGTACCAACCGATATCCGACTCGTAGGACTCAATTCAAACCATTGATGGGGCATAGGTGTTCATCGGCCGACTCTGCGCAAGAATTGTATGTGGGAAGGGGCAAGAACCGTAAGTGGGAGGAACGCGCAAAACCAGCTTTTTCAAACAGGAATCAACCAGGTTTTCGTGATTTAAAAACTGTGGGACTTTCCGTCGCCACAAGCGAAGAAAAGATCAAGCATAACTAGCGTCACACACGATAGAGTGGGTAAATAAATTGAATGGGAGTATCTCCGATTGTATGTTGTAGGGTCCCTCCACGGATAGTTTATCCCCGATACACAACCGACACGGCATCGCACAGAACAGAATCAACCCTTCCTCTTCTTCTTCCCAACGCACCAAAAACCAGCAGAACGCACTCTCCACAATACGGGATCTCTACAATTGACAGCCATTATTTTCTCCAACCCATCGATACATCATTTGCTTTCGTTTCAGAGAGAAAGAACAAGCAAACACAATGAACGACCAAAGCGATCCCCCGCGGCGACAGAACCGCACCAACATTGGTACTTCTCCCAGGAACAAGGACGACCCGTTCTGCGATCTCGAGTACGATTTTGGCAGCCACCCCAAACGGTTCTTTGACGTCCATGTCGACGTCGACATCGAAGCGGAACACGATGACCACGATGAAACGGTGCACGACCAGCTGCCCTCTGTTGAGGACGCAAAAATGTACAACGCGACCGCAAACCGTCGCACGCGGAGGAGGCGCGGCCGGGTGTTCACGAAGATGGCTCTGGTGTGCGGGGTGGCGATCGCTTGCGTTTCGTACGGCATACACGCCCGAACGAAAAACCAACATCGAAAGGCCGTGGCCTCTCTTACAGAAACCGTTCGCCTGTCCCATCCTGACGCCTTTCGAGATTCCGGTTCTCCCCAGTCCAGGGCCCTCCGGTGGATGCTCCACGACGACGGCCTTCGGTTGCCGCTTCCTTCGAATCGGACCGATCCCTTTGTACAGAGATACATCATCGCAGTCCTTCTATTTGCTCTGACGGATTCGACGACGAAACCGTTCATGCCGCAGAACGATCTGCGAGGTGCCTACGATCTGTTGTCGGGATCCCACGAGTGTGAATGGAATATGGTTGACGCAGAGGGCGTGACAACAGGCTTTCTTTGTGGAAACGACGATGGAAGCATCACGGACATCGTCTTGCCGGGGGCCGACCTCGACGGAGAGCTGCCCCGCGAGGTTGAGGCTCTGAACCACCTCGAATCAGTAGACATGAGCGGGAACCTGATTCACGGAAGGCTACCGGCTATGCCCTATCTAACAAATCTCGATCTGGCCTACAACCGGCTCACGGGATACTTGCCGGATCACTTTTCGGAAATGACACGGCTCAACATTCTGAGTTTATCGGAAAATGCCCTACAGGGCTCGATCCCGAATAAGTTTGCCGCACTCACCGATCTGAAAATCCTAGCTCTGAACGGAAATCAATTGACGGGGGGGCTGGAAAAAATTTACTCGCTGTCGAAACTAGAAGAATTGTACCTTTTTTCGAATTCGTTCGAGGACCAGCTGTCCAATGGGTCCTTTGGAAAGCTAGTGAACCTCAAAGTGATCGACGTGAAGAACAATCTGCTCTCTGGACCACTCCCGGATGCCCTCTTTTCGACTCTGACGAATCTAGAAGTCATCGACTTTCACCAGAACGCACTCAATGGACACATCAACGATGTGGTTGCGAAAGGGCACTCTCTCAGATACATGGACGTCTCCTCCAACCTGCTAAGTGGTGGCCTCCCCTCGTCCATCAACAATTTGCGAGCCCTGACGCACCTGGATTTATCCTACAATCGCTTCGAGAAATCCCTACCGTCGTATCTAAAGGACATGACCCAAATGCAGACTCTGCTATTGACGGAAGACGACGGCCTCGGGCCGCAAACCATCCCCGAATGGCTCCGGGGGATGACCGATCTCACTCAATTGTCCTTTCGCCTTACCTCGCGAAAGGGTACGATACCCACCTGGTTTGGGGAGTTGAAACGCCTCGAGCTGTTGGATCTCGACTGGAACCACATCTCGGGAACAATTCCAACCGAGCTAGGCAACCTCACGAACCTCAAATACCTCATGCTGAATCGGAACAGGATGACGGGGACCATTCCCACCGAGGTTTCGCGTCTCCCAAACCTGAAAATGCTCATGGTCGACACCAACGAGTTTACAGGCGGCCTGCTGACGGGCGACGAAGAGACCCTGGACGGCGGAGGCGTTGTTTGTGCCGCGCAGGAACTGGACCGCAGAATCCCTAACATGGTTGCCGATTGCGGCAACGGTGACGATGGAACCATTGAGAATGGACAGAAGGAAGTAGACTGTCCTTGTTGCACCGGCTGCTGCTGGGACGGATCCCTTCGGTGCAACATGAAGGACTGGATCATCGAGCTGGAAGACGAGTATCGAAGCGGCTACCGACAAGACCGATAGATAGATGGTGCGCGATCCTGCTTGTCGTTTCGGCGTGGCGTGGCGTCGCGTCGCGTCTCGATACGTGCTCTGGAGGCTGTCGTTGGAAAAACCCAAGAGAGTTCAGCGCAATCACAAACGTAGGGTTACAGTCGATTCGTGATGCACCTCTGCATCGACAAATAAATTCTAGCCTAATTTGAAAAATAAAATATACCGGTAACAATCGGCTATCGTTCTATTGGTCTCCCAAATTCTCTACAACTTGTATGAAGAAAAGAACCAGGACAATAATGATATGGGTTCGTGTTATAATAACTTGTGTCAATGATCTTTTTAAAATATTTTTATGTTGAATTTGTTAATGATACAAACGGCAAGGTGCCCAAGCTCGTGGTATTTTTTTCTAGCGTTATTGTACAGGATTGATTCATCTCATTCCATTCTTTTTGTATGAACCACGAATACATGAACGTATCGTTACGCCATTCGTTTTCTTTTCTATTGAAATGATTGTTCTCGGAAGCATGAATTGGATTTTTAGACGGCTGCCTGCTCGTCAAAGAGCATGATGGATGATGGTGAACGGGAAAGATTGCCTTCCTTGCCGTCGCCTTCCTCTTTGATCATGGGAATATGTTCGGGGTCGTGGACGGCGACTACAGAATCATGGAAAGCATGCATAGAGTCGCGGAACCCGTGGAAGGCGTCTTCGTCCATCTCAAAGTGATCGCTCTGGCTGTGGAAGGATTGGTGCGAGACATCGTCGTGATGAAAATGTTCATCATGATGATGGTGATGGAGATAGTCATAGCCGTCATGGACGTAGTCTCCTTGGATGCTGTGGTGGTTAGCGAAGCCTTGGGTATGAATCTGCTCCGCGTGTCCCTTGGCGGACGGTCTATCAAAATAGTTGCGAGCGCAGTTGACACTTGATGGAGCAACTGGATTCTCGGGATGAAGGTAATCGGTCGCGAGTTTCTTGAGTTCTTTTGTTTCAGCGATAACTTGTTCGCAATCTTCGCCTTCATGCTCAGGGGCAGAAGGACGAGTGAAGTAGTTCCTTGCAGCAGCAAAGCCATCACTCTCAACGGGTCGCTCCGGATGGAGGTACCATCCAGCGACTTTCTTGAGTTCCTTGGCTTCGGCAAGAACTTGGTCTCGCTCTTCTTCGAGTTCTTCATCGTCATACTCGGGAGCAGAAGGTCGAGTGAAGTAATTCCTTCCAGACGCAAAACCGTCACTCTTGACTGGTTGTTCTGGATTGAGATACCATCCAGCGACTTTCTTGAGTTCCTTGGCTTCAGCAAGAATTTTGTTTTTTTCTTCCTCATCGTCACTCACGTGAGCAGAAGGCCGAGAGAAGAAATTTCGTCCTGTTGCAGTGGCATACACCGTCACAGGCTTCTCTGGATGCATGTACCACTTTGCGACTTGAAGCAATTCGGCCGCATCAGCAAGGATCTGCTCGCGCTCGTCAGCATCTTCCTCGTCTTCATATTCGGGAGCCGAGGGACGAGTAAAGAAGTTGCGCCCACATGCGGTAGCAAAGACTGTGACCTTCTTCTCAGGGTGCATGTACCAATCAGCGACCTTCTTAAGTTCGTCAAGGTCCGCAAGGATTTGTTCGCGTTCTTGAGTATCACTCTCGTCTTCTTGCTCAGGAGCAGAAGGACGGGAGAAGTAGTTGCGCCCATACAAAGTAGGATCCACCTTCACAGGCTTCTCGGGTTCGAGGTACCAGCTAGCAACTTCCTTAAGCTGGTTCGCGTCTGCAAGAACACGCTTTCGTTCCTCTTCCATCTCATCGGTGTAGTTGGATTCGAAATCCAAGGATAGATGCTTGCCACTCGAGGTCTCCCAGGAACAGGCACCGGCATCATCATCCATTGCAGCAGGACGAGAGTAGTAGTTCCTTCCACAAGCGGTTGAATCGACAGCAACTGGTTTGTCAGGATGCATGTACCATTCGGCAGTCATCTTCAACTGCTTCGTGTCTTCCAAGATGCGTTCGCGTTCTTCCATGTCCTCATCCATCACTGGAGCCGAAGGACGAGAGAAATAGTTTCTTCCGCAGGCAGAAGCGTCAACAGCCACGGGCTTCTCAGGGTTGAAATACCACTCGGAAGTAGTTTTCAAAGCCTTCATTTCTTGGAGAATAAGCTCTCGCTCTTCTTCTTCTTCGTTGACAGGGGCAGAAGGGCGATTAAAGTAATTGCGCCCACAAGCTGTGGGATCAACAGAGATAGATTTCTCTGGATGCATGTACCACTCAGCGGTAGTCTTCAGTTGCTTCATCTCTTCAAGGATGAGCTCTCGTTCCTCATCCATGCCGTCTTCGTCCTCGTACTCGGGGGCAGAAGGGCGGGCAAAGAAGTTACGGCCGCAGGCAGTGGAGTCAACTGCAACTGGCTTCTCTGGATGCATGTACCATCCAGCAGTGGTCTTCAATTGCTTCATCTCTTCAAGGATGAGCTCACGTTCCTCTTCGTCCTCGGAGATAGGAGCTGAAGGTGGGTGAAGAAGTTTCTTCCACAGGCAGTGGAGTCAACTGCAACTGGCTTCTCTGGATGCATGTACCATCCAGCAGTGGTCTTCAATTGCTTCATCTCTTCAAGGATGAGCTCRCGTTCCTCTTCGTCCTCGGAGATAGGAGCTGAAGGTCGGGTGAAGAAGTTTCTTCCRCAGGCAGTGGAGTCAACTGCAACTGGCTTCTCTGGATGCATGTACCATCCAGCAGTGGTCTTCAATTGCTTCATCTCTTCAAGGATGAGCTCTCGTTCCTCGTCGATGTCATCTTCATCATCCTCATACTCGGGAGCAGAAGGGCGAGTGAAGAAGTTTCTTCCACAAGCAGTAGCGTCGGTGGATACCACAGGCTTTTCGGGGTGCAGGTAAAAGTCGGCAAGCTCCTTGAGGTTCTTGGCATCTGCCAAGATGAGCTTGCGTTCCATTTCGTCTTCCAATTCACCTTCGGAAGCGGTAGGGGCCGAGTAACGAGAAAAGTAGCAACGGGCACAGGCCGTGGGATCGCTTGCTACAGGGGCTTCTGGGCGCAAGAAGAATCCAGCCATCTCTTTGAGTTGTCTGGCTTCTTCCAAGATCATGCGACGCTCAGCCTCGTCTTCTGTTGCGGATTTAGGATGAAGGATTGATGAAACCAATGCAACGTGAGAAGGTCAGACGAGCCAATGCCGAATCAATCGTGGAACGGTTCATAGTAAAGATCTTATCAACATGAGTATCATCATCATTCGTACGTACCATCGTCGTCCGAGTCGAAATCTTCGTCCTCATCGGAGGAGTAATCGGATTCGGCGCTCACAACCGAGAAGTCGGAATCTTCATTCTCGGAAATGATGGAGATCTGGTTGGTTTGTTCCATGGGTTGAGTTTTCGGTCCGTTCTTAGTACTAGCTTTATACTCCTTCACGTTGGAAGCGTGATCGGATGCATAAGTGATCTCGGATGTACTAGGAACGGACTGAGAGGACCCCATGTTGAATGATGTTTTTAAAGGGAGTGGTAGGTTAACTTCTGACTAAGATAATTATTGGTTCATTTGAGAATATTATGAGCTCAAAAAATCTCAAGAGGAACAAACGGAAAAGATGCTTTAAATCTTCACTCTTCACCCAAACCCACGTGAAGGAAACCATCCAATATTGTTCGTTCCTGCTTTCATGCAAGAAATACGGAAGATTTTCGACCCCAACGCGTACGTTAGTCTGTGAACTCGCGCAGCGTGAGAACATTTGAAATCAACACAAACATGCGCAAAACGCATGAAATGTCAACGCTACCCGGGTGCGGTACACACCTAAGAAGCACTGATGACATGGAACCACATTCCACGGAAGCATTCTTGTAATTCCCTACAGCTCTTCTAATAGGCGTCAAAAAGATCCTGAACTTTCGTACTCATTATTACCAAATATTTATCGCTGATTGGCCAGATGGACAGCATTCTGACATCTTGCAACATCGTCCCAATCTTAATGGACAGCTCATATCGTCATTCGCGACCAAAACGCATACGCACAATTTTTCAATAGCATTATTACCTTCTTCGATTGGCATCAGAAGAATGCATTGGTTCGCCGGTGTCAGGAGTGTCAACATGCGCACGAATAAGATCCGTTAGAGATCTTTCCTGTATTTTGCTTGGCTCGCTGAACCCCAATCTGATGTTGATTGATACCGGAACGTTGGCGAGCAGAGGATATTTTTGAAACGTGCCTCTCCTCAAGGCTCGGAAGGTATCCAGGAGGTGTCAGCTCTGTAATGAATAAAAATCTACGAATTCTGGTCAGAATTACGATCGTTGAAGAGTGTTCTGTAGTGATGACACCTCCCACGGAACAAACATCAATCATTGCAATGCTCTGCTGATTTATTTCTTACCAATGAAACTACCGGTACAAAGATCTACCAGCGGGTTCCTGCAGACGGCAAACCAATGTATGGTACGTTCTGTGCTCGATAGAACGCTTCGGCTTGGACGGAGGCCCAGTAACGGATGAAAGCTGTTAGTTCCTCCTCACGGAACCTTCAGAGAACAACCAAATCAACCCTGACTGAGTTCTCACGGAGGCAGGAGGAACAAAGATCCAAATCGCAGCTGAATTACGACAAAGGAAGAGGAAAAAACTTTGTCGAGGAAAATCTTTCTTTCGCATTGGCAAATTCTAATTCTCATAATTTCGATTTCGACTAACCTCGAAAACAATCTTCCAACTCACAAACAACTAGTTTCGTTCTAATCGAATCAACAACACAATCATGGGCAAGCCAAAAAATCAAGCAAAAAACGAAGAACTTGAACTTTCGAAGTAAGTTGTTATATGTTTCTGTCTTCCTCTTATTGCATTCCGCGTTCCGCCGTCGACAATCCCAAGCTTTTCGTCCATCGAATTTCACTTGACCGACATTACAATCCGCTAACAACATCTCTCTAATGCATCCATCACATCGCCCGTACCAATACAGGAAGGACAAGAAGAAGGTGGCCAAACTTGAATCGCAAATCCCTTACCATGAAGGCCGTGGAAACAAGGAAGAAGTTCAAAAGATCAAGGACCAGATCGAGAAGATCTGGACGAAGACTAGGGAGGCCTACGAAGCCAGTTTGCAGTAGAGCCCCTGTCTGCGGATGGGGGCGCCCCGGGACAATTACTCTAGACAAGAGTCACACATTCGCACAATAAATCAMACACACACACACATAAGCAATAGTCACACCCCCATTATTTTTTCATTCGATTATCTCCATACACTACTGTATTATTAGTATTTTGGTTTGTTTCTTTGGCAATTGTACGTACGCAGTACATGTCGCTATTCATCGGAGCGACAAAGTAACATTGCGTGTGGTCATTCTGGAGGCAAGACGATGAGTTCGGAGACATGATCCCAGTGTTGTTGCTCTGCTGGATTGGCATGCAATGGCTTCTTATTGCTTCACTATCAGGCATTGCGGTGGAAAAATGACAAAACACCACGCACGCACCCATGGTGTCGTGATTCTGTACATGGACTTTAGCTACTACTTTTGGAAACAAGCAGTTCTCATCTGCTATCTTGTTTGGTCTAATTAGTAAAACAATGGAGACAAAAAAAGATTTATTAAAGTTAATTAATCCTGCAATAAAAATGGCTTCGCTGATACTTAAATTTGGTTTTGGGGTTCCACTGGTTGAGTAGACTCATCGAGATTCAGCAATAGAATGACACATTCAGAATAATAGCTGTTGTTTAAACAGAAAACTGTCAAAATTGCCCATATGTAAGAAAACTGGTAGCTCTCCTGGTAGCAAAGAAATAAATGACATAAATATATTAACATTGATTTCTATGAAGAAATAACAAAATCATGTCAGCACTAGTACTAGTACTAGTACTAGTAGTACTACTACTATCGTCATAAGATGAAAATGTTGGTTTTGAGCCATTTACACTGCCTTCTTCAATTACTTTGTTTTATGTTCCTTGTGAAAATGATGAAAAAGGTATCACTAGCTACTAGTACTAATAGTAGTGCTGCAGTGTCGCTCATAGATATGACCAGCAATGCATCAAGGCTGATACCCCTCGTTTCAGCACCACCACCAGCAACAGCCTGGAAGAAGAAGAGATCTTACTGCAAACCCTTCTCTAGTAGAAGGACTTTGTTGTACTAGCACCAGCAACAAATAAGAGAGGCCCAGCATAGCACTACTACTGGTCAAAGTATTGCAATAGTCTCTTAGTACTAGTAGTAGTCAGCATAAGGCTGGTAAGAGAGAAGAGAGCTGAAAGAAAAGAACACGAGGGAGATGAAGAACTTGATAAATAAGTTCATAGGTATTGCCACAGCAAGAACAACATTGGCACAAGAGGCATTTCAACAACAGGAGAGGGAAAATAAATTGCTTGTCCACTGTTGTTGCTTTTGCTTGAACCCCCCCCCCCCTCCTGTGGTGTTTCTTGTTCCCATCAATTGCTGGGAAGAAATAAGAAACAGAATAAATTTAGCTCTGGAAAAAGATGCCCCCAGAAAGGGCCTTCCTTTGCCAGAAAATAATGATGATATTCAACATGGAAAATAGCAACGGAAAAACAGCATATTGTTTCATCAAATTCAGTCCCTCCCCCCATGGTGCTTCTTCCCATTGATTGTCAGTAAATGTGAAACAGATGTTCTGAAAGAAAGTTTGATCCCACCCACCTCCCTGGGTGGTGCCTCCCACCAATTGCCAGGAAATAGGAAACAGAATTGATGCTGTTCTGAAAAGGATGCCTTCAGTTTTGTTCAAAAAGACAGAAAATAATAACTTTCAGTATGCAAAAAAGTAACATTCAAACCCAGAAACAGTGTCTTGTTTCATTGAATTTGGTCAATTTGACCCATGCTGTGGTTCTTCCCATCAAGCTCCAAAATAAGATGCCCCTGGTGGAAAGGGCCTTCGTTTGCCAGAAAGGAATAATATTCAATACAGAAAATGGTTGTTGAACCCAAAGACAGTGTCTCTATTCATCAAAATGGGTCCCTTCTGCAGTGGTGTTTCCCATCAATTTGCAGGAAATGCAAAAAAGATTTGATAACGCTCAGAAACAAGATGATCTGTTGAAATAAGATATGAGTGGAGGGAGAAGCAACAACCTACCTTGGTAGGCCACTATGGTAACCTTATACTGCTTTGTTGCTGGTATGATGCCAAGAATGGTACCAGGGGTACTTCTCACAGGACCATAATTGCATCCTTGCAAACATGAGGACCTTTTGAGAGTATCATGGCAGGGGGACTTGTGTTGCCATCCATTACTAGTACTACTAGTAGCAGGTGGTACAAGTGATACTAGGCACTGCTCATCCTGTATCAACAGGGCAGCAGGTAGGCTAGTACAGATAAATCCACTGAACAGAAGCAAAATTTTAGCCACATAAAAAATGGCACATGAAAGGCAACAACAGGAAAACAAATCTGTTCTGTGTAGAAGAAGAAGGATACAATAGAGGAGGTGGAGAAGGAAGCAGGAAAAGTAAATACAGTAAAGATTACTGGAGAGGTACTACCTGGAAGCGTTTGTGCTTTTGTGAATGGGGAAAAGAGAAAGCATGGACCTGAAAGGAGACTAGAGGAAGCAGGAAAGGAGAAGCGCTTGATGTTGTCAAAGAACGGTGAACATACATGGTACCAAAGCACCCGCAACAACAGCACAGGGTTTGGTGACAGTAGTCCTGGGGGACAAAATATCAAAAGTGAACTAGATGTTGCTCAAAACTGCCTTCCAAAAATACATTGCTGAATTAAAGTTTTTTCCTGACATGAAATTTGCATCAACACATTACTAGGTTGACATATATGTGTGTAAATGGGCGTTGGAGGAAGGGGGGAAGGGGGAGCATGTGCAAAGAGATCTATGGTGAGACAGAGTTTTACCTGTACTTGGAAACCACAACGCAATGCTCAAAGTTATTCAAGAAGATAATGGCTTAGTATGTTTCAGTGAAGGGGTTGTTGGCAGAAAAATCTTGCTTGGCTGATAACTGTCTAACCATGGTTTACCTTCCTGGCACCAAAAGAACATCTCTGATTGGGATCCAAAAGAGAAAGGGAAGAAGATTTTATAGCCACTCTATAGGGCATACAAATTGCAAACAAACCAGAGTTCTTTGATTATTTTGTACGAACAGGAATATGACCAGAAATTTCAATAGAAATAAGAATTTGGCAAGTGATTTGCTAAGTGACCTATTCAGTGTTGAGGACAAGGCCTTTGCTCTCCTGATACTGTACAATGGACTTTATGTATGGGAATCTTCCTTCCAAAAAAAGAGTAATTAGTTGCTTAGGGTAGAGTCAAAGAGATTCTGCAATTCAAAAAGCAGGAGGAAAGATTGGTGGGCTCCTGAGGGGAAGCTTTTGTATCACCTTTTGTGTACTGAAATCAAGCAACAAAGAACTGCAAAAGGATCCTCAAATCAGATTGAATTTTGAAGAATAGATGCGTGAACAGTTCAGGAAAGAG